TGCCAATCACTTGTTCGTAATAAACCAGCTTCACCAATTAATTTTCAGAGAACCTGGAGGAGGAACTGATGATTAGGCTGCAGGAAATTCAATAAAACTGAGCTAAATACATTTTCAGAATCGAAAACTCCACATTTGTGTTTGTTGGCTGCCAACGATAACAGGTGGAGCGCACAGCAAGAGCTCCAATTAAAATCAAAATCAACCTGCCTGCTTGTAATTGCTTCTTTGCTTCCACATTGTGTGCGTGTGCGCGTGTGTGTGTCTGTGTGTGTGCGTGTGCGCGTGTGTGTGCGTGTGTTGCTAAATTTAACGGGCTTGTTTTGTAAGACTTGTTCCTAATATTCTCTCTTATAATTTAGTTTGTTATAATTTCACGTGATATTCATGTGCAAAATCAGAAAGATTAAACCCTGCACTTTCTTATTGTGGTGATGTGTGTGTGTGTGTGTGATGTTGTGTGTGTGTGGTGTGTGTGTGTGTGTGTGTGTTTGTGTGTGTGTGTGTGTGTGTGTGTGTTGTGGTGTGTGTGTGTGTGTGTGTGTGTGTGTGTGTGTTGTTGTGTGTGTGTGTGTGTGAGCGGAACAGACCTGACGCTCTCACTCACTGGTAAATGGGTGCTCTGATGGACTGAGGCGATTCAGACACACTCACCCCAAAACACTTGCACTCAGCCGGTGATGGAGTGAGGCCATTCCCTCTCCTCACCTCGTGCCCAGTAGCTGGCTGGAGGCCCAGTGTAGACTTGCCAATTGGAGCTTCCACCAATGCAAACACACAAACTTTTCTGATGACTGTCAGTTCATTACAGTACAGTACAACACACACCACACACACACACACACACACACACACACACACACACCACACACACACACACACACACACACACACACACACACACACACACACACACACACACACACACACACACACACACACACACACACACACACACACAACACACACACACACACACACACACACACACACACACACACACACACACACACACACACACAGTATTGATTCTCCCTGGTGGGCACCTCCCCTCCAATTCACACTTTTCAGCCGTTTCTAAAGTTAGTTATTCCTTTAAAATGTGGGGTCCTCTATCATTTGACCTGCCCTCCAGCTGCCTTAAAGATCAAATGCAAAGCTTCCAAATATGCTACATTTTTATAGAAATGTTGTTTTTAAGACTGCCTGTATTTTTTTTAAAAAATTAAATCGAGATAATACACCCGAAAAAAAGCTTTTTATTGATACAAAACTTGACCCAAAACCGTCTGAATTTCTGACATGTAATTCCCAGCAGCCTCCGCGCGCGTGACGTCATACATGCCAAACAGTCTCTGGACCAAACATCTCGGTCACAAGTTTTTCGACAAGAAAACTGAATTAACATGGGTTATTGTTGTGCTTTTTGTTGTACGAACGGTGCGGGATCTGGGAGAGTTTTTCATGTATTTCCCAAAGACCAAATCATCCGCAAAAAATGGATTTTGTTAGTGAATCGTGTTGGCTGGCAACCGACAAAATGGAGCAGGTTGTGTTCTGATCACTTCACGTGTGATGCATACGAGGTTGATCCTGCTATCATCAAGTCTGTTGGTGCAGAAGCATTAATAGCACGTCGGAGGCTGAAACCCGGAGCCGTCCCCTCCATATTTCAGCACAAGAAACCACTGAAAGAACGAAAGAGCGGAATTGCAGTTTTATTGCTTATAGAGGTGGGCACCGTTAGATTCTGTGTCTTTACGATCATAAACAATGTGTTGGATGTGGAGCTAGGATAAGTAATAAGGGCACTAGGAGTGATAGGTTAGCATTTTTCGCTCGGGGCTAATTCACTACACGCATTGTAGTTTATCTGCAGCTCATTCATCGCTCCTCCACTCATAACGGAAAATGTCGAACGTCCTACAGTCGGTGATGCAGACTTCTTCTCCCATCTCTTCCTTTACTTTCCCATAGTTGTGGCAGCACTTGTTTTCTCGGTTTGTAGGCATGGTCTGGCAGTTTCCACATCTACACCAATTCTCAGCACCCTCGGCCTCTTCCTCAGATGGCGAACTTGAATAATCGCCATCAGCACTTTCATCGGTGATATCAGGTGACGTTTCCTTGTATTTCCTCTTCGACATCAGAGGCTCGTATAGATATGGTTGGATGTCGACAACATACTCCAGATATTGGGTGGCCTCCGACTCAGAATCAGACATGATAGACGAAACTAAGTTGTACTATCGGCGGAAGCCGCTGTGAGCCGCTGCGAGCATGTTTCGCTCGGGGCTAATTCAGAGGCTCACTCAGAGCGCCTGGACTTTATTTTTCTAAACCTCTCTAAAAAGGTCAAATTTCACTTGTTTTGCATCAATCTTGATACAGGGTACTTATTATATGTTATAGTTTGGATTCCTAAAGCTTTTAGTCTATAGTCTACTCAGAATCAGACATAATAGACGAAACTAGTTGTACTATCGGCGGAAGCCGCTGTGATTGATAAGCCAGGTGGAAATATGTTTGGCACATCTGACGTCACGCGCCGCCATCTTGCGGAGGAGCGGCGGAGAAAATAAATCGTCGGACTTGGTGTTGGGGGTTGAACAAAATTAATATTGCGCATTGCCAGACTCATATTATCTCCGATTTTAATACTGCAATATCTTAGATAGTGTTGTAGCTATATGATTTCGATTGTACTGGCAATTATACAAAAAGCTTTGCATTTGATCTTTAAACACTTACATTCTGTCTCCTCTCCATATCCACTGTTTTCATTATCCTGAAAAAGGTATTACAATGTAGATTCATATTAAATGGTTCTCTTGTTTGGATTGGGTTTGATCTTCCCTTGAGCTTGTTCCATGTCATATGATTACCTCTGATTATAGCTAAATATTACACCGGCATTTCATTTTGATGATAGTCTTGAATAGATTATTTTAATAGCTAAGTGGCTCTAAGCATGACAATGTCGGTCAGTTCATCAATCCACCACTTTGGTCCCGACAGAAATATCTCATAGTGGACTTTGGTAGAGTCCCAATTACCATTTACATGCAAAAAAAACGATATAAGACAAAAGGGAAACCCCCTAAAAGCATAATAAGGCCTCTTTTAAAGACCCCTTCACATCATCTATGAACAATGGCAGTCCCTGAATCTTTGGTATGTATTCATTTTTTTCTTTTCCCAATTCATTTTAGCTGAACATTTAAATTCCTCTGAGTTGATTGGAGGTTATTTAGATCACCTGTTGCACCAGGGTGTGTGGAGTTACTGCTAATTAATTATTGAGAGCAGCTTGGTGCATTTTCTCTCTCAGCCAATCAGTGGTTAAGCCACTCTTTTATTAGGGCTTAAGAGAGGCAGAGATCTGCAGTCAGGTCATTTTGCGTCTTCTTCAGTTTAGTAGTGATGGCAAAATGAAGCTTTGAATGAAGCGTCGAACCACTTGGACAATTGTGTCGGAAATAGGTTCATTTCTCGAAGCTTTAGTTACAGTGACCTCTCCTGGTGAAGTGCAAGGCTGCAGTGGGTTTAACGTATCTTTGCCTTGAAAAATATTCGATGCACACACACACTAAGACTGAATTGAATATCATGTTCTATTTGCAATTAAAGATTGATAATTGTGTGTATTGGGTTATTGAGAAGAGACTAGAGAGTGCTGGAAATTTTTTTGGGAGGAGAGGGACTTTTATCAGTTATTAAAGTTGAAAAGCAATGATTAAAATACATCCATTCCGGGCTTTGAACCAGCTGCGCGGAGGACATCGCCGCATTCGGGCCGCCGGCTCTACCCACTGGGCTATCAATTCCTTCAATTATTTAACTGTTTTTATATTACTTATAATTGTCTTTTTGTTCACAACTTCTCCACATTTCGAAGTGTTTCCCGAGCCAGAACGACCTATCTTTCTTCCTGGCTTGCTCTATAATGATATCAAATGCAATACCAACAACAACTCAACAGCAACAACGCAAACTACGACAACAACCCACACATTGCGCATTGTTTAGAGCGGTCATAAAGTGTTGAAGCGCTCAAATTTGAAACTGTTTCAACCTGTCACCTGTCAGAATCGAGACGAGGCAGTGCATTGAATCGCGTGAATGGACCGCGAACCAGTCAAGTGATTCATTCAGGAAATGAAGCAGTTGCTGCTTCGGACGTCACATGTCACGTGATTTGAAGCAGTTGCTGCTTCGGACGTCACATGTCACGTGATTTGAAGCAGTTGCTGCTTCGGACGTCATATGTCACGTGATTTGAAGCAAGCTTCGAAGCACTGCTTCTATGGAATAGGAAGTCCAGGGTTGAAGCTCCGTTCGAAGCTTCAGTGTCAAACTGCCATCACTACAGTTTAGTGCACAACTCATTTTAGCAGATATTGACAGAAACTCGGCTCTTAAAGCCTTTTTCACACTTATTTGCTGCCTTATCCTAATTCAGAAACCAGCTGGAGTGAATATGAAACATCTTTCAACTGGGTTACTTCCATTAGGGCAGATTTCAGTATGTCAGACAGACTCTATGTTTGCCTAATGATAACGTAATGCCCGCAGGCTTCAGTTGGTTTATTGGACAATTTTACTTGAAACTTATTTGCTGGTCAAAAAGGCATTTATTCCTAATTTAAAAGGCATTTTGACTTTGCAGACATACATGTGAGATTGGTTTCTCCAAGTCAATATTATGTTTAACTTTGTGGTTTGGAAGTGGTTCTCAGGCTTCTTCCAGATCAGCTCAAACTGGTGGAAAGTATTGCCACAAAACCATCAAATAACAGTAGCCAGTCTTTGTGAAAAGGACTGTTTTTTGTCAGAAACGAGTATACTGTATATCAACTAAAGCTCAATGAAGCAAGATACAGAATTGGCAAGATGGCATTAGGGCCACCGTGTCTCTACGTATAGAGACACTAAAAAGTCCAGAAAAAACACTAAGTAAAACTCAGAGACCCCTTTTTAAAGTTGAGTTTAATGATTACAGTGATGACTTTAATGAGTTCACATTCATACAAAAACAGCCTCATTAGTATTTGTGGCATACAAATTATTCCCACTAATGTAGAAAAACCAGAGAATAAGATTCATGGTGCCAAATGTAGCCTGGAGTTACTCCATTGGTAACGAATGGGAGTAGAGGACTGACTTTGAGAATTATTTTGCAACAGCATAATCACTTTCCAACCACAATGCACATACATACTTCCCAGGAAAAATCATGTTTTATGTGATCTCTTTCTGAGTAAGAATCATAGAATTGGCCGTGTCACAAAGCCATTTTTTTCTTTGTGGTTGTGAAAGGCAGCCATGACTATTCACTGCTTCACTGTCACAGGCTTCACTTCACAAGATAGACAATGGCTCATTTGTCTCAGTACTATAACTAAATAAGAAGCAAGAGTTCATTATATCAAGAGAAACTTGACAATTGCTTTTTTCAAGATCAAATGTTTCTGTTCCTCTGAAAGCCATTTAAAAATAATGGAAGATCATTACACATACATACTGTCCAGGACAGTTAACATGACTGTGCAGCTTTTAGAGCATATGAATATATATTATATTGAGTAAACATATGTCTCAGTTTTTCAGTCTGTATGAAGTACCCTTGTACTTTGGAACGATAGCTTACTTTCCAGGAAAGCTCAAGAATATGGTTGAAACACAAACCAGCACAGTTATATAACCATTGTTTAAATTCTGAGAAAAATAGAAAACCTATCTCGTACATTTCCAGTTATTGACTCCTTCTGCGACGGTAAGTCATGTAACGTCTATTGTGAATGTGTGAAAGAAAGAAATAGTATTTCTGAGAGAGGTCAATGGATTGTGTAGGCGTGCGTGCGTGTGTGTGTGTGTGTGTGTGTGTGTGTGTGTGTGTGTGTGTGTGTGTGTAGGCGTGCTTGCATGTGTGTGTGGTATCGACACACTACTTAAGATTGTGCAAAACGTCTATATTATAGTTTTTCATGCAAGTAAAACACGTAAATCTCCTGTCTCCATTATCTTAAGTTTTCCAGAATTGTATACAGTTATTTGGTTTTTGGGGAGACAACCTAAGATGTTCACTGTCATAACTACACTGTAGCGATGCACACATGACAATAAAAGCCTTGAAACCTTGAAACAGCGCGGTGAAAATGGAACACTGAAGACTCAACTCTTCACCGGGATAAATGTTTCCTGCTGTCTCCTGCGTTGCTGCCACAGTCCTCTCCTTCGTCTTTTACCCCCCCCTCTCCCCCCCCTGCAGAGGGTCCTGGATCAGGGAGTGTCTCGTTGGGAGGTGACCTCTCACCTCCCTCCTCTCTCGGTTTCCGCTCTGCTTCCTGCTGAGGGTGCAAAGGTCCAGTTCTCTCCAAGCACCATTGCTCCTCCTACATAGAGCAGTGAAGACTTCATATCATTTATAAGAAAGCTGGTACTCTTGTATAAATACTTGGGTGTGTTGATAGACCATCTTCTATCCCATAACAACCACATTGAATACAAATAATGTATTTTCTCTGCAGCATTAGGTCTTTGGGGCAAGTAGACAAAATCTTCTTCTTGTATTTTTCTGTGTTTTTGAGTGTATTGCAATACTGCATGTTACAAGTGTCTGTCAACCGCTTTAAAGTTAAAACTGCTCCACCAATCAAACATATACAAGATATATAAAGATTGTCTCTGACTCAAACCGTGTCCTGAACTCGGAATAAGACTTATTACCATTACATTCAAGTTACAGGTGCCCCCGACATAATCATGTTAATAGACTGACGCACTCTTTTGTGCACCAATTAATCCTTAAATAAATACAGAGTTAAATCACAAGTCATAAGTACGTTAAGTCTTGAACATGTTTCTCTTCAGTGATTGTGATTATATGTCAAATGTCTGTTTCCTTGTTTCCTGTCTCAACATGTGTCCTTGTTGATCTTGTGTATGGAGCTACTGTGATGCTAGAACAATTTCAGACTTGATCTGACAATTAAGTGTTATCGTATTGTAAGACAAAAGAGAAAGAACATTTGGGATCAGCGCAAGATTACAACAATATTGCTCCTTTCAATCTGTGATTGAATTGCTGGGGTCATGTAGATTTAAGGACTAAAACATGCAGCCTCATCTCCCTGAGGAACTCTCATCAAACTGGAGTGGAAATCTGTTTAATGTGAGTCACTGTCTATGTATCTTCTGTAACATATGTTGCTGAATATGGATGTAGTCTTTTATTTTCATCATTAACCTCCGATAATGTATGAATCCAACAATATCTAGTGAAATGTGCCATGCTGTATGTATGTGGGTGTACATGCAAGATTGCCTTCTATTAATGCATGTTTTTCTTTAAGTTGTGGTGATTTGTAGGTCTGCGTAAGGGCCTTGTGTATATCTCTGTGAGCCTAAGGCAATCTGAAATGAAGCAACACTGAGCCAACATTGCCCCGGGCTAACTTAATATGGGTGTCCTTTAACACAAACACACACACGCCTAACCGAAGCTTGATGCTGGGTTTCACATCCATTTCGTCAACTGGAAGCCACCCACCAGCGTGCAGCAGAGTGGGAGGTAAAGTCTTTATTAGAGACTGCCTGCACCACTGTGTGTTTGAACCGAGGAGATCTGACACCATTACCTTGACAGTGTGAAACAATATCACAGCTTTAAAAAAAGAAAATCTCACAATCAGGTAATGTTGTGTAACTGAAGCTGCTGCAGGGTACTTAAATGACCTGATGTAATTGTGTGTGTGTGTGTGTGTGTGTGTGTGTGTGTGTGTGTGTGTGTGTGTGTGTGTGTGTGTGGTGTGTGTGTGTGTGTGTGTGTGTGTGTGTGTGTGTGTGTGTGTGTGTACCTGTCCGAACAGACCCACGTTATCTCCACACAGGTAGCTAAGTGCAACACTGCAGTCTGATGACGCCGAGAGAACGAGGAGTCTGTTGCCATGGAGACACGTCTCCAAGTGCATCACACGATCAAGGTGTGGACGGAAACTGCTCAGTAGTTTCGGAGGTTCGTCAGTTATTCCATCATGTAGCTCAAGATAATAATGCTGAGGGACAGAGAGGCAAAGCAGCAAGTTGCTTTTACTGTTCAGGCTGGATACATAAAAATGCATTTTACTTTTATAAATAAGAGTGAAATAAGCTATGCCCCCCTCAGTTAAGCTACCGTTCCGAACTTCCTATGTATGTCAAAGGTTTATAATACAAACGTCCAAAAACGGCAATGTTTTGCCGAGATAAAAAATAGCAGATTAGCTGTAGCAAGCTAGCTAGCTAATTGAACCTTGGCTAGCTAGCTATATCGTTTTAGAAACCGATGAGTCTTTAGATCCAGTTAGAAGTAACTAAAAGCAACACTGTTTTGCCAGCTGAAATAAAAACAATTCTCTTTCTCAAATATAATAGATGTATCTAGCCAGCTAGCTTGTTGGACTCTTTGCTAAGGCAAAGTCAAGCAGACAGATATAAGAGGGGGTCGAAGAGGTTCTACACCGGGGCCACAAAGGGATTGTTTGTTTGTTGTTTAAAATGTAATATGTGTCTGATACACACATTATACTGTAGTAAAACAAGTCCAACATTATATAAGCAAAGATTAATATCCCCATTCTGAGAAGAGGTGAAGTCAACAGTTAATAAATCTACATTAAAAAAAAGATACGACCATGTTTGTTTTTCTGAAAGAGAAGTATGCAGTACATATGCAACCTAGTCTCACAGCATTTCGTGTTATAGTCACAAAATTAATCTATTGATTCGTGTTCACCAACACGAAGTCGCCATTTTTTTCATGTCACACAACGATTTTAAAAGCAATGAAAATAATAACAAATTAGAAGGGAAAAGAGATTTAAAAATACAGATTTCAGTATTCTGACACAGAACGATTTTAGAAGCAATGTATTTCTATTGGTAGTATGTTTCGTGCCTGCACCAAATAAAACAAATTAGAAGGAAAAAAAGATGACAAAAAATACAGATTGCAGTATTCTGAGGCTCTGAGCCATTTCTTTTCCCCGGACGGCAAAAAAACTCCGACATTATACAATTTAAAATAAAAGGGTTAGGCTTAGGGTAAGATATTGAGTCAGAAAATATTTTTATGAACCACACAGCTTCCGGTCTTCCAAGAGCCGACCGGACAAAAAGACGTGGTGCAGGAACGAAACATACTACCAATAGAAATAGGTTACTTTTTCACATTGTTCTGTGTGACACGAAAAAAATGCGAAAATCGTGTTGGTGAACACGAATCAATAGATGAAATTAATTTCGTGACTATAACACGAAATGCTGTGAGACTGGGTTGACATATGTTATCAACACTAATACTTTGGCATGTTATGTAAGATGTGAAGTTAACACAAACTACTGAGATATATCATGTTAGGGCGAGACCTGGTTCTGAACTGCAGAAATATCACGTCTGAGAGCACTGTACTGCGCAATCATGTTAGTCATCCAGCTGATTACAAACTTGCCACAGGACAGGATCTCTACTCGAGCACTGAGCTTGTCTAACTTCTTCAACTATGCTACATATATACATAAATCTCCATAAATTAAACTGGGAGCCAAATGAGACGCACCCATCTGAATTCATCCCCTCTTATAAACTGTGACAGAGAGTTGAGCTCTGAATATTGTGGCAATAATACCCGTGAGGGTGTTCTTTTACTGCGATTATAAGCATGACAGTGATGAAGCTACGCCTTATAGCCTACCAATGATAGCCTACGATCCAAGTCTCCATAATCAGAGTGAAAAAGTCAGAAGGCCTCTCTGAGGTATCAGAAACTCTTCAGCTATCAAACATGTGTTTATTTAAAGAGTTCATGTGCTGAAGGGAATCTCCAAACAGCTAAATTATCATGCAATAACGATGTAATCCTCCAAAACGTGTCATTCTTTTACACATCCACTTCAATATGTTAAAAGGGGAATGCTAATTTCAAACAATACTCCTCCCATTTATTTCAACAGCTTCTGCAACTCAAAATAAAATACCAAGGACGATGATAATATACCAATAGAGGTTTTTTACATGATTGACTGACCTGCTCAAGCGAGCTACAGATGTCAAAATACAAGCACTGTCTGTCATTTTGACATAATTCCCTTTTAATGTCATGGTGTCATGCAGCTTGGACACAATAACACAAGTGATTGTGACGGAGACCCACCTGTATGTCCCAGGTCTTGAGTGTCCCCTCTCTATCAGCTGTGACTAAATATTTCCCGCAGGGACTGACGGTCATAACAATAGACCCCAGGTCGCTGTTGTGAGCTGTGAACTGTCCCACCAGACGGCTGTGGGCGCTGTTCCAGAGTCTGACCACACCTGAACCTCCACAGGACACCAAGTCTGCACCGCCTGTTGGAAATATGGGAATATACAGTAGTTAAATGAATGCTTTACAATACAAACACACATTGTATACTCAATCAGTGTGAGGAACAGGGTCTAGATGCTGATTGTTTACCTAGCAGCTACAGAGAGAAATGCATCAATCACACTAAAATACAAAACTCAAGCATCCACAGTATATTTAAAATAGAGCCAGAGAGAAAAGAGAGTTTTGAGGATTGCATATGAACAGAAGTACAAAATAAATAATTGGAAAACTTGAAGCGATTTCAGCAAATCCAACGATCATTGATGTGAAGCTACTCTACGCGGTAACAAAGCTCAACATACCCGAAGCCTTACTGTCTTAGTAACGTGCAAAAACAGAGTGCATCTGTGTATTGCAACAATAAAAACAAGGCAGTATATGAATTTTATTTAGCATTTTAAAAAGGCTTTTGATTACAGAACTCTTTGAAGTAACTATGTGTTCATCAACAATGACTCTTCGAATTGAAGGCTATAACAAAATATCTCAAATTACATTATACTATTTTGTGGAAGAATATACGTTTAAATAGGCTTCTGCTTTAAAATATTAAGGCAGAATCATTTTTTGGACTTGAATTGATTTTAGTAAAAAGGAATTTGGTTTGTATTTACTGCCTTTATTTTGGAGGAGCTCCTGTGTGGTACTTGTATTTTTACACAAACAATATGCCATATCCCACATATTACAGAACCTATTTAAACAAACAAGACACAGATATGTGAAGACAGATTCCTGAGGATACAATGCAGAATGAATCTCAGAATCCTACATTTAATCTCAGAATTCGGAGATTAAATTGAGAACTCAAAGAAAATGTTTCCATGTGGCCCGAATCCTCTTCGGTAGGATTATTCAGTTCATTTTTAGTTTTCAATATTTCACCTTTAGGTGTGCGTCCCGGTATAAAGAACAGTCTAGTGACGGCGATGGAGTTATCAGCATCTTCTTTCCCATTCGCACCAAGATGAGTATCTGGGAAATCAGTATAGCAAAGCATTGAGAAATACAGGCAGAAAGCATTTACTTAAAAGTTTCAAAATAAAAAATGTTGCATTTGTGTGTGAAATTGAGCCTTCTTGCCTTCTCTGTGTTCAGTAAGTGGCCGCAGTTTCTTCAAAGCATTTTCTGTGCTGCTGTTCCACTCGATAATCTCTCCATCATAGCTTCCTGCACACGAAGCAAAACATTGTGAAAAGCTTATGATACATATTTAAAGTATTTTTATAGCGGTAACAACACAGCAAAAACAGCCAGGCCGGGATCACATTGTTAAACAACAGTTATTATTATTTTTGTAGATAAAACATCCCTGTTTGTCATCGGTTCACCTTGGCAGACAATGACGTTCCATATCCAATTGTATTTGTTGTAAACACTTTTTCGCATAAGTTTCCTTACATGTGTCCATGGTCATGTTTCCTACAGGTGATGGTCATGTTTCTTACAGGTGATGGTCATGTTTCCTACAGGTGTCCATGGTCATGTTTCCTACAGGTGTCCATGGTCATGTTTCCTACAGGTGTCCATGGTCATGTTTCCTACAGGTGTCCATGGTCATGTTTCCTCCAGGTGTCCATGGTCATGTTTCCTAGAGGTGTCCATGGTCATGTTTCCTCCAGGTGTCCATGGTCATGTTTCCTACAGGTGTCCATGGTCATGTTTCCTCCAGGTGTCCATGGTCATGTTTCCTACAGGTGTCCATGGTCAGGTTTCCTACAGGTGTCCATGGTCATGTTTCCTACAGGTGTCCATGGTCATGTTTCCTCCAGGTGTCCATGGTCATGTTTCCTACAGGGGATGGTCATGTTTCCTACGTTTCTTTACAGGTGTCCATGGTCATGTTTCCTACAGGTGATGGTCATGTTTCCTACGTTTCTTTACAGGTGTCCATGGTCATGTTTCCTACAGGTGATGGTCATGTTTCCTACAGGTGTCCATGGTCATGTTTCCTACAGGTGATGGTCATGTTTCCTACAGGTGTCCATGGTCATGTTTCTTTACAGGTGTCCATGGTCATGTTTCCTACTGGTGTCCATGGACATGTTTCTTTACAGGAGTCCATGGTCACGCTTCTTTACAGGTGTCCATGGCCATGTTTTCATTACTTCAACTGACACTTGACTTTGTTTTTTAGCATATTAGAAGGGAGTTTTACTGTTTTCCACTTTACTATCATAACTTCGTACTCCATTAACTTTAGAAAGGTGAAGGACAGTTTACCTGAATCCACTAAAAGTTGCTTTTCATTCAACCATGACACTCTTGGTTCCACAGTTCATTTGGACAAGTTTTTTTAAACCTAGATCACAGACAATCTACTTTTAACATACCTTAATGATCACATTCTGATTACTTACTACTACATTGTGTAACATTATATTTAATGCAAAATGTACATCAACAACCATTCTCCTTTTGCTTTCCTCGTGCTGTTGAATCATGCAAAACACCACTTATAAACCACTTTAAAAGAAGCTGAACGCCCGTCCCCACCATCATCTATACCACCACACTCACCTCGTGAGAAAGTGCTTTTCAAATAATCTACATTATATATAAGCCAGTGTGTGTTTATTATATGAGGCAGGAATCTCATCAGGTGGCTGCAGTTGAACAGCAGGAGTTAATTAGATATGTGAGGAGTGGGTTAGCAATTGAAGATGTGTATGTGTGTGTGAGCAATAGGAGGTATAAAGTTTATGAGTGTGTGGGTCTTCTGCATTATTCATGCAGCCCACGGCCAGCGTCTGTATTTCAAATGACTTTATCATGCGGTGTGTGTGTTTGTATGATAGAGATTGAGAGGGATAAAGGAGGTGAAGCTATCCACATAATTCACACAATGGTTAATTATAAAATGGAGCTGGAATAACATTAAATTAATGTATTTTTGTCCTTGTCAACAATATGGAGCCTAATTTACCCACAATGCAACTTAGCTGCCGTAATTTCAGTGGACAAGCAGATTTAAGAAGCCGGATACAGAGGTCTGGTAAGCAAACAATTGCATTATAGTATAGGCTACATAGTGTTTTGGTAATTTTGGGGTCTAGGCTTTCTGAATATCAAACTTTAATTTGCCATATTTAGACAATAATTACATTTTTGAAGCTTGTAAAGACTGAGTGACAACTTTAGCAATCACCGCCGCCTCTCACTAAAAAACGTGAAGGATATCATTGGAAAGCTTATAATTTCCTCTTTCCAATGGTGTTTACAACTCAAATGTATTTAGGGGTCAGAGTGACTAAAAACATGTCACATAGACATAACCAAGTCAAACCTCCAAAAGGTTTTATTTAACTTTCCCCTTTAGCTCACTAACTTGAAAATAATGAAATATATAAATCAGATTATCTTCTGCTTGAAGTTGTCATTCAATGTTTCCAATTTCTATGCTGGCATTTCCATTTCTTAAAACATATTTGGCAACCCATCAAAGTTCAGAGGAGTTGGTCTCTTGGAAGGTGTTCAGCCATGGAGGATTAACGGATCCAAGGAGAGTAGTGAAAAGAAGGGGGGGTAGTGACTGAGTGAGGTACACAGGACCCCTGTGTACAAGTACCCTGCTGAGTGTGTGTGTGTGTGTGTGTGTGTGTGTGTGTGTGTGTGTGTGTGTGTGTGTGTGTGTGTGTTGTGTGTGTGTGTGTGTGTGTGTGTGTGTGTGTGTGTGTGTGTGTGTGTGTGTGACAGTGGCTGTGTGTGAGAAGCCAAGCGGAACCTAACTCAGACTCTGAATATGGATGAGGAGGCTTCAGTCCCACATCAGCCAAACGCTCCTGCTTCTGCAACTTCATTAAACTTGGGACACAAACAAACAGATGCATACACACACACACACACACACACACACACACGGTCCTGAGCTTGTGTGTGTGTCCAAAATAACTTTAAATTGAATTTTTTCCCTGGTGGTCTTGATAGCACCACCACTTTCGCTTGGCACACAGCTACACGTGCGTTTGGCAGCATGCACGCTTGGATGTGTAAACGGCATTACTCACTGCAACCCTGAAGAAATGTGCTGGCAACTGTAACTGATGCGTCATCGCTTCAAGACGATGTCTTTGCCCTCAGATTTGGGGATGAAAGTATTAGTCCAAAAAAAGTATCAAAGTAGACAAAAGCACTGCAATAGTTCACATCCACCTTTTACTTCAGTTTACGGTTATAGTACAAAAGATAAATAGCTGGTAATTCCTCACATTTGCCAATAGGCCAGAAAAAAAGATCCAATAGGATTTTAAAGCGTAGGAAGAAGTTATGGTTATTTTTAAAGGGACCCTATTGTGCTAATTTGTTGTATTAGAGCACTAGCCAATAGAAGCGCGAGTATTACATAGTGATGTCATTATGTAATAGAAGTAAACAAAAGACGTTTCAGGGGGAGTGTGTGGGAGAGAAACTCAGGGCTTCTAGCCTTTTTAGACTATTTACATGCCCGAAAAACCTATATAACACACTAGAGGGAAGTGAAAACCCCAAAAAGTATAATAGGGCTCTGACAATGGTGCAAAAAAAAGTAAGCTAGGATATATGTAATGGAATAAAATGAAACAGAGTGTAAAATAAGTAGCCCACTGTAAAATAATAATACTAATATAAAAAAAGACTGTGTTGATCTAAGGATTCCATTTCACCAACACACTTTGATAATACATTTGACCTATTGTGAAGTCTGATTTCATTTAAAACAAAATGTGATGAGAGTTTCTGTGTATTCTCTATTCTACAATAATAACAGAAACAGACACTTTCATGACTTAAATTAAGAATGAGGGCTCATGCAGAGAAGAGAGATGGAAGAAGGGAAAACATAACAAAGCCTTGGATATAAAAATGAAAGAAATATAAAATCTTCAGTGAAATGAAATATAACTGCTGATTAAAGTAAGTGGTGTTGTTGTCACAGGAATGAGCTTCACACGTTGCTCTCTGCTGGAAATGGCTTCATCTTTTATGTGTGATGGGAACTTTGAAAAAAACATTTATTTTAATATTTCACAATTGACAGTTTTAGTGTTGATCCTTAAATGACAGGCAATTTTCATTAAATAGGCACAATAAAACAAGATGATACAGGTATAATTGAATTGAAAATGATCCAATTAAAAACTGGCAGGTTTGCTTTTGTCCTTTGTCACGCTGCTGAAAGACAAATGTGCTTTTGAAATTATATAAATCAGTATTTCATTCCTCCGAAAGAACGAGATCGCGGATACAAGCGGCCGAGATGGGTTTTCTCCGCAGGGTGGCTGGTGTCTCCCTTAGGGATAAGGTGAGAAGTTCGGTCATCAGGGAGGGACCGGAGTTGAGCCGCTCCTCCTTCGCGTCGAAAGGAGCCAGTTGAGGTGGTTCGGGCACCTAGTTAGGATGCCACCTGGGCGCCTCCCTAGGGAGGTGTTCCAGGCACGTCCAGCTGGGAAGAGACCAAGGGGTAGACCTAGGACCAGGTGGAGGGATTATATCTCTTCGCTGGCCTGGGAGCGCCTTGGGATCCCCCAGTCAGAGCTGGTTGATGTCGCCAGGGAAAAGAAAGTTTGGGGCTCTCTGCTGGAACTGCTACCCCCCGCGACCCGACCACGGATAAGCGGGAGAAGATGGATGGATGGATGGAGTATTTCATTCCTTAGAGCAGTGGTTCTCAAACTTTTTCTGTCATCCCCCACTTTGAACAGGTGGGCCTTTTCAAGCCCCACCTGTTCCTCATCGCTCTAATAAAATGGTAGGCCAAGCTTAAAATTGTCAAATGTATCGTTCTATAACAGGGTCTCCAACCTTTTTTAGGATGAGAGCTACATTCAAAAAATAAAACAAGTCGTGAGCTACTTTTACTCCTCTTTTTTGTTTTTTTTGCAGTGTATATATTTAGCACATTTTAACATTATTATATGCTACCTTTAACCTTTGTGTGCTGTTTGGGTCTGTGGGACCCGTTTTCAGTGTTTACTAAATTAAAATGTAGCAATTTAATTATTTTAACCTGCTTTATTTGGTGGTGGACGTCACATCCTCTAGGGTCCGGGGCATGCACCCCCAGGAAGATTTTTTTTAAATGTTGAAGTTAAATGCATCAATCTGGTGCACTTTGAGCTAGGGCTGCTCAATTAATCGTATTTTAATCGCAATTACGATTTTGGCTTGCAACGATTATGAAAATAACATAA